ATCTCATCGCAGCTCAATCAGTCATTGATTTCATGGATTTTATACTTTCGAAAAATTCTCAGTATGAACATTCGAAATGTTTTCTCTTCCTTTCTCTTTTTTTTGTTTTTCTCTAGTTTGGGTTCTTTTTTTCAAGGCTAGAACTAAGATCAACAGTACCCTTCCGGTACATGTTGTTTCTAGCCTCATTTGTAGTTTTTCTATCTTTATAGATTAAATGATTAGTGTATTTATGTGTAATAAGGGGCTACAAATAAATATTATTATTATTATTGATGTATTATTATCTGCGTCTTATGACAGACGTAGTTCCTTGTTTTTGCAGTTATTTACATTCGTTTGTTTGTAGTGAGCATTTTTGGAATATCAACAAACTTGCTACGATTTTTGGCACATCTGAGAACTTCGATTGAAAGGGGTATGAGTTTGAAGAGCAGTTAATTCCGAATGACATACACGATTTCATATTTCATTTATGTAGGTGGATTTGTCGAATAAATGTTCTACTTTGAGAATAACATAAATACATCTGAATTAAAGTAAATATCCACAATACAAAAGTCCTTCCGACGAGTTTTCAGTATTCTGATCTACTCACTTTTATAGCGTTCAGGAATACAAGAAATCAAAACGTAAATCAAGTGCTACTAAAAATTCAAAAGGTAGTACAAACAATTCAACGAAACGATATTCAGTTCATCGGAATAAAAAATAAAAAACTGTCACGTCCTCGGTCGCCCATTTTCTCTTGAATAAAGTTGTGACCGACCTTCAACCAGCAAGAAATGCAAGAAACTTGTTACTTCGAGTGCATGAAATGCAACTGGATGTATGAATTTTCACAAACTAGTATGTTGAAAATCATCCGTGAATGCACGCAGTTTTTATGTAGGTCATGTAGAAAAATAAAATAAAAACAGAATTTTCAACTATAGTACAATTCCATAATAGTAGGCAGTGAATTCTCAGAAATATCATTACAATAAAACGAAAACATTATTGTCAAGGTTGTGATTCAATATATTTATAATACTAATAATAGTAGTTCCTTATTACATATAGATACAATAAATATTCAATCTATAAAAATGATTGAAAAAAAGTACGAATAAGGCTAGAGACAACACAACATGTACCGGAAGGGTACTATTGATCTTAGTTCTAGCCTTGAAGAAAAGAAAACTAAATTAGTGAAAAAACAAAGAAAAAGGAAGAGAAAAGAAAAGAGGAAGGAGAGACAGGGAAGAGGGAGAGGAAACATGTTGAATGTTATTACTGAAAAGTTTTCAGAAGTAAAAAATCTATGAAATCAATGACTTTCTGATTGAGCAGCGAAAAGATATTATTTGTAACAGCACTTAAATGAAGGAACTTTATATTTTTGTGGAATATTATTATACAAACTACATATATTATACCTGAAGGATCGTCGATGTAGAGTGGTTCGAGGAGGGCGAGAGGGGCGGAGGAGAAAGTAAACCTTTAAACCTCAAATTTGAAGTATGTACATCGCTACGAACTCTTATTTTGTTACATCTACAAATATGATGGACAATTGTTAATCAATATTTTATGAAAGAGGGTAGCCGAGTGTAAAACACGTCTATTTTCCATAGTTAACCAATTGGTTTCCTTAAGTTTATATGAAATTCTGTCATATTTTCTAATACATAATTTTGAACTCTCTCAATTCATTAAATATGCCTTTTTTATCTAGGCATGAACCATACACAACATCACAATATGCAAAATGACTCAACACAAGCGCATTTGTTAATTTTATTTTCAAACATATTGATAATAAATGACGATGAGGATGAAGCATTTTCAAACTCATGTAACACCTTTGAACACATTTTGTGACATGTTTTGTAAACCTTAAATTCACATCCATTTCGATACCTAAATTTTTTGACACGTTCATGGGGCATATTACTATATCACCAATAACAATATTATTATGTCTTTCCACCAAGCTACGGTTAGTACCAAAAACAAACAGATTAGTTTTATTTGAATTGATTTCGAGGTTATGAGCTTCAGATGCTGAAATAAGACGAGCTAGATCTTCATTCAGTTTTCAATTAGCAGTAGCAACGTCATTAGGGTTAAATGATAGATATAGCTGTGTGTCATCCGCATACATATGTGAATTACAATGTCCTAAAATATAAACTAGATCACAAGTGTATATGCAAAATAATAAGGGTCCAAGTATAGATCCCTGAGGCACTCAAAATTCAATAAATTCACTGCTTGATTTCCCTTCGAAGTTTCTACAAACTGTGAATGATCTTTGAAATAGCTTTTAATTGAATTTATAGCAGGTTCAAAGAACCCAATGAAGTTCAAAATTGCAAATAGAATTGGATAACTAATAGTATCAAAAGCTTTGGAGAAGTCTATAAGAATCAAAGCAGTCGTATTACCTTTATTAGCAGCTTCGAAAATATCATCAGTTAATTTCAAGAGAGCAGTGAACAGCTGTCTTCTTTACGAAATCCTGACTGGTTGATTGGTAAAATATTAAAGAAATTAAAGAGGCATGATATTTGGAAACTCAGTTTTTCTCAACTGTTCAGTATAATTTTTGTATGCTATACAAGAAATAGATCGAGGCAAAAACGTCAGTCATATTTGAGAATTTTGTGCCTACTTTTTATGAATTACAGTATAGACATTTCAGAAGGCAAAAATTCAAATTCACTTCCATTTTTTGTATAATGAAAATATTTCAATGTATTCTGAGATGAAATTATATATTTATATTTCACTTGTACCTCTACTTTCAAAAAGTTGAATACGTATACAGTGCTTTACATTTAAAATGAGCCACCCTGAATAACTTTTGGTACAATGATTCGCAGAAAAAAAAAACAAACTTCAACCATTAACCTGACGTTTTGTACTACCAAAAAGACGCTTAGCCAGAAATTTATTTGGTTTACCCCATGGTTATAAGGGGTGGAAAACACAACCCCTAATTTATTTCCAATGTAACTTTTTGTCTTATTATTTGTTTACCTTTTAAAAATTTATTTCCGATAGCGTGTTTCATTCTTAACGAAAAATGTCTCTTGGATTTTTTGCCCAAAAAAAACCAGTTCGCAGCAAAATATTATTTTACGACAAACTACAGAGATACATCGTCCTAAATGCGAAAATACGAAACTAATCTATCTAGTAAGTCGCTATTAGCGATAGTGACAATTAAATTGGTATGACGCTGTCAGTTTGTGAATTTTCGAAATTGAAATAATACTAATTGTGTTCAACGAAAGTCATTTTTTGTTGAGGAAAATAAGCTCATAGTTTGGTAGCTAAAAATTATTGAAATTGAACAAGAACCACCCTTAATGAACTTCTGTACAATCTATTACATTGGTTTCAGAGGTATTTTTGTGAAGTATACTTTAAAAAGTCTTACTTGCCTAGTTAAGTTTGAATTCGATATTCTCCTCATTTTGTATTTGCCTCATCCTACAATAATGATTACCTACCAGATGAAGTTACAACTGGTGTTTCTGTTTTTGAGAATTCTTGAGAAGCAATGGTTTGTTTATACGCTTCGAGAACGGATTGAAATAGTGAGTTTGTACTACAAGAATGGAAATAGTTCTAGAGCTGCTGGCTGTTTGTTCAATGATAATCATCCAGGAATAAATGTTCGACACAAATACGTTTCAGAATTATCGAACAAATTTATGGAAACATAAACATCTGCCATCTGTATTTTTATTTTCATTTTTGAAGTCTTCTTTCTTGGTTAGGACGCCACTGTTATGTTTTGATGTCGTATTTTGACCTTGCATCTTTTTATTCGTAGGTCCACCTGCACTGCTATATGGAATGGTATGTTGCTTGTTTTTTGTCTGACGTACTTGTAGCCCGGCAATGAGGTTGTTTTGTTTGGTTTGAAGTCGATTTTATCGTCCAAAAGTTTTTTGTTTACATTTAGAATTGCAAACTTCTGATTCATTTCGCTTGATACCTATTTCAAATAAAAATTTTCTGTTTTCAAATTCACATAATCACGATTGTTTAGTGAAACAGCCTTTCACAGCATACAATTTTTAAGTCATCATCAATTGTTCTGTAAGGTTTTCTTGCAATACAGCTGTTCACTCACATCACATAACACATTATTCCCTCTAAATTTTCATTTAGATAGATAGATAGAATTATATATATAGAGATAGATAGATAGATAGTACTTTATTTCTAACAGGTGTACACCCAATTACAGGAAATGTTTAAGGAAATATACTGAAGAAAATAACATTCGATACAAATAAATTCACATATTACATATTCAATTGACAAAATACAAATGATATCAATAATATAAATGAAATAATATAATTAGATTCAATTGACATATCATAAATGAATTAACCTTCACAAGGTTGACGTAAAACAATTGAAAATTATATAAAAAAAACTATCATTATTATTATTAGGAATCACACGTTGAAAGGTAAGACCCCGTTAGTCCTTAGCTCGCACAAGTTTCTGTACTTCTGAGAGTTATCGTTCGTATGTGGGAGACAGCTGATTGATGAAAAAACAGTTTTTTTTTTCTTGTTATTATTTTCTGTAGGAATGTGGAGTCGCCAGTCTACGCCGATAAGCTCAAAACAATTAATCATTTGTATGACAACTTTCACCGATTATATTTGAATTTGAATGCCAGAAGATTATCTTTCGAATACAGTAAATTTCATGTCAATTCAAAAATTCATCTTTGTTTTATTCCATTTCAAAGTTCTCTACCTCTATAAAAATCATTCTATACTAGCTTGTATCAAAAATTGTATCACTAATTTCTTGTTATTCACTCCACCATATTTATATTCTATACAACCTTGCTACGTGAACAACGATAGATTTTATCTGAAAAAACTCCTCTACTCCTTGAAACTACGATATGTCATTACCAAGCGAACTTCAAACGACCTAAATTACACACCTTCGAACTAAATGAATGAGAAAAAAAAAGATATGGAAAAGCATGTATTCAACAGGATGGATTTGTGATCCAACAAAACAACATGCGTTCAGCTTAAATACACTCAATCAACGTCTAGTTTTTTGAAATTTCCGTAAAATCCTAGAACTTCGTCGTTGACTAATGGAGTAGGCCTCAGCTTTTCGTCCACTCGCAATGTTGCCAATACATCGAATACATCCTTATATTCCCCAAATTTCTTTTTCCATTGCTCTGAAAAAGAAAAATTTTCACCTCATCACGAAATTAGTTAATGAATAGTTCCAGTAATTCTGGTGATTTGGAAGATATATCATAACATCATGAAAAGCAGGTATATCATAACATCATGAAAAGCAGGTATACTCACCATTCAATTTCTGCAAGGGCAATTCTTCTCCACCAAAATCACTTGGGAGTATTCGAGCTGGGATGAAATTCAGAAGGGAGTGTATATCTTTGTGAAAATGGAACTGAAAACAAAATAACAGACTCAACATGAGGCAAAATAATATTCATAATACGGAGATAGGAATTAAAAATGGAGTCAAAACAAAAGTTTGTTGATTTTCAGTAAAGCAATATTTAATAACACCCACTGTCATGAATTGTTGATCTTTGGAAATTCAATTCAGTTCATGTATTTTTGTATTCATTGAAATTCATGGATATCTTCACCTAACAGATATGTCGGCCTTATCTGTTCCATGTGATCTGGTTCTGATAAGATTTCTCAATGAATTGACTGCAGTTTCCTGAATTGAAACATACAATTGAATCAACTTCAATAGAATCAACTTCTCCTCATGTACAAATTTTCATAACAATACATAAAATTTTTACATTTTTATTCGGGAAGAAATATTTACATGCATAGAACTTTATAAAATTTCACCTTAAGTAGTCAGTGGGCATATCCGAATGATCTTATAATAGCATGATTCACAGATTAGTCAATGGTCCTTTTTCAATAGATAGTTTCAATAAAGAACTTGATATTATCAAGAAAATTGCGGTTAACAATGGGTTTAAAGTCAAATTAATAAACAAAATACTTGTCAAGAAAGTCTACGTAAAAGCAATTCGAGACGTTTTTCCTATTGATGAGATAGATAACCAAAATTATAGAGCTTAAACGTATTTTCGACAACCAACGGAAAAAGTGGCTATTACAATGTCCTAA